TTTTTGGTTTTTCTCCGGTACCGGGAACCGAACTCACGACCTTGCGCTTGCCAGGCAGGCACTTTTGCCGCTGAGCTAAATCCCCAGCCCCTCACCTCACGTTTTGATGGCAGCATGGGCCCCGCATGGCCCAGTCACCCCTCAAAGGTCCGCCGTCACCCTGCTACATCGACAGTTAAATTTCCGCCTGAGTTTGGGAGGGGACTTCAATCAGGCCATCACTCCCACACCCTCCTTGATCCCACTTCCTGTATACTGTTTTCTTTCTGCCCTCTCACTACCCCATCTTCACCAAGGCACAGGCTGTGTTTTGCCTTGGTTGTGGCCATAGCCTCCCTTCTTCCCGTTGGGCCCCTGCCAGGGTCTCAGCTTATCCTACAGCCACATGTGGTCATTTCGGAACCGTGAATGTGCCCCTTGTCCTCCCGATGGAAGCATTTCAGTACAGAGCTCAAACTCTAAGTTTATCGTGTAGGACCTTTCCCAACCAGGCCCCAGCCTACTTCTCCTTTTCCTTATTTTTATGAAATTCACTATGATATATTAGAGTCTGGGTCTCTTTTTGTTTATTGTGCTTGGGATTCACTTGAATTTCTGAATCTATGATCTAGGGTCTTTCTGGAAAATTCTCTGACATTATATCTTAAATTGTGCCTCTTCCTTGTTACCTTCTCTTTTTCTCTAATGTCATTTAAACTGATATTATTCCTTCTCACTGTGAGCTTTGTCGCTCTGCCTCTCTTGTGTGGTTTTGATCCTATTGTCTCTTCATGTTGCTGTCTGAGTATCTTTTTCTGATCCATCTTCCAGCTTACTAATTCTCTCTTTAGCTGTGTCTCACTTCCTATTACATGTGTCTATTGAGTTCTTAATGTTTGTCACTGCAATGTTGAGATCTAGAATTTCTATTTGGCTCTTTTAACAATTTTCTTGGTTACTTTTCTAGCTCCCAGGCCCTTGCTGAAATGTTTAAGCGTGTCTTTAATTCACTGAACCCAGCAAACATAGCTGCTTCATAGCATGTCTTATGATTCTGGATCTCAAGGCATTTTGGGAAGGTTTCTGTTGGGTATTGCTTCTGCTTCCTCTTGTTCTTGGTATCTGTATCTATATGTGGCTGCTTTGATTGTGTGCTGGACATTGTGTTTGACAAAATATGTATAAAAGTAGTCAAGGATTTAAGATAATCTCTTTTTCCAGAGGGGTTTTGTTGGCTACTGCCAAGAAGCAGGGGCTTCTTCATTAAGGGACCCCTGAATCCAAGATCAGGCTTATACTTCCCTGGACCACTGAGATGACTTAGAGCTGGGCTGCAGGTCCACATGAGTCCACATGTACTTCCGGTTCACTGTACTCTGAGAGTGAAGGCTGTGGGGTCTCAGCTAAAGGAGGAGGGTCTTATCAGAGCCCGGACTCTGTCCTTTGCGTCCTTCCCCTGTGAGTCTGCCGGAGGCACAGATCTGTTCCACAGCAATTTCTTCCAGATTGTCCTGGGGGCAGAAGCAGGCTGGGACTCAGAGTTTCCTCCCCAGGATCCCCGTCCTTTCCCAGTGTTCTTGCTGCTGTTATTTGGGTTTGGATTTGGGGGCATTGGGGAAGGACCCAGAGCCTTGTGCATGGGAGGCAAGCGCTGTCACCCTGAGCTGCACCTCCAGCCTCCCTTTCCCAAGTTTCAGCCTGATGGGCCTCAGTCTTTCATCAACCCTTTCATGGCTCTGAGATGTTCTCAGTAATTCATCTTCTTTGAGCGATCCAGTCCATTTCACCGTGTTGCCTACCGCCAGATCCTTCCCAGCCGCCTCTGCTGTCTCAGATTCAGTACTTACTCACTTCACACCCCCACCCACCTCTAGCTGGGTCAGAAAGACTTCAAGCTTCCGCACTAAGCCCCTTTGGTCTTGCCCAGCTCACATCCTAGCGGGCGCTGAGCAGCTAAGTGCAGAGTTCTCTGCTGTACAGCTTGTGGGATGGGCACAGCCAGGGTGCAAAGGCAGAGCTCCAGCCCCGGCTGCTGCACATGGAGCTCTCATCTGCCCCCCTCACACTGCCTCTAGGAGTCCTGAGTCAAGGTGAACGCAGGACTCTATTTTGACAGAAATATCTGTCTAATCCACACCACTTGGCCAAACTCAGCAATGCCAACAGAAAGGCACGTTCCCCGGTGATCGCCTTTATAATGGTGGCAACCCTGAGGACCAACCCCCGGGAGGACGTGGCGCTGGGCGTCAGAGTTGAAAGCAGCCGCAGGGTCCATAGTCCAGTGGTCCGGAGGAGCCACTCTGTGACATTCTGGAGAACAGCCACCAGCTAGCTGCGGCTGGAGTCCGCACAGATGAGGGTCCCCGGTTCAGCCTGCCACCCCCGTGCTGCTCTGCCAAGTGGCAGTTGATTGGCGTCCCACTGGGCAGGTGAGGCGGTCTAGGCCACCTAAGCTACAGTGATGCTGCCTTCCCCCAGGAGCTGCAGGCACGAGTCCCAGAAGGCCAGCGTCTCTTTGAGAATCTCCTTCATCTCAGGCCCTCGAGGGCATCCTCCGAGGAGCTGGAAGACCTGCGCTACCGCTGGATGCTGTACAAGTCCAAGCTCAAGGACGCTGGCCACCTGCTGGTGGGTGCTGAGCCCCAGGAAGGGCTAGGGTTGGGCCCAACTCACAGCAGGGAGTCAGCTCGGCTGCAGCGCTCGGTCCTGGGCACCCACCTTCCAAGCTGAGGTGGCTACTCCATCCGGGAGAGGCGCAGGTCCCCGGCACTTGACCAGCGCTGTGTCTTTGGTCTTCCCGCCTCCTTATAAGGCCAGAGTCCCAGCGACACATACACCGACCTCACAGTTGGCTCGCAAGGAGTGCTTGCTCCCTGCCACACTGAGCTCTTGTGAGCGGTCCCTTCAGCCCCTCTGACCATCTCTGCCAGGGCAGCTGCGTCCCCGTCTCCAGAGAGCAAGCTTGAGAAGCTAAAGTGCCTGCCCGAGATCACAACTGCTGGGCAGCAGCGGAGCTGGCGTCAAACCAGCCACTGTGTTGCGGGTGTGGAATGAGGCAGCAGTAGGTGGCGTCTGGAGCCCTGGGGTCCAGCTGCGCCTCTCTGCTGACCGGCTGCGTGACTTTGAGCACAACAGTCCTCTTTTGGGTCCTATGCCTGCTACACAAATAATACCAATGATAATGATATCCCTTATGAAGTGCTGTGTCCGCATGACAACCCTACAGAGGACATACCTATTATTCCCCTGAACCAGTGAGGAAACAGGTACGGAGGTTAAGTGTCCCTGGTCCGAGGAGGTGACAGGGCTTTCCAGTCCCTTCCAGAACCGCCAGCCCAGCTCCAGCCCTGCAGGCTCTTTTGGCCCGAGGTAGCCATGTCGGCCACTAGGTGTCAGCCCAGCGCTAGCCAGCAGGCTGCCGCGGCCTCGCAGACCAACTCCCAGCGGCCCGAAGTGTGTTAAAAAGCTCGTTAAACCCGAGCCCTGCTGGCTCAGGCTGTCCAGATGACCAGAAATTGTAGAGTAACACTCCCTTGACAGAATGACTTTCCATTACTGGCTCTGCTGGGATTTACGTTTCGCTCACCTCACTTATTTTCCCCCCTTTTCCTCTCCTTCAGCTGCCGGGTTCTCCAGGGGAGCCGAGCGGATTCCAGACGGTAAGAGTCGCCATCTGCTTGCACGGTGAAGGGCATCGTGCCTGAGAGCTGGTGGTCAGTGCTGGGCTTTCCAGAAGTTTCCATGAGGTCCAGCGGGCAGTTGTGAGGAGTCAAAAGTGTAGGTTTGGAGGGGTGACTGGCAGAGACATGCGGAGTACACAGCTGTGACGGGCGGCATGACGGAGAAGGGACCCTTTGCCCTGAGCACTAGGGCACAGACACGCTGGGGAGAGATGAGGGTGCTAATGACCGCTGTGACAGTGGGTGTAAGCCAGGGCCTTCCCAGGGGCCGGGTGGTTCCAGGTGACCGTGTGGCCGCCTTGGTGACGGAGGGCTGTGCGGGGCTCTGGGACACACCGGGAAGGATGGCAGAGGCCCTTGGTTCTGTTGTTTCCCCTACGCCCTCCGTGACTGTTCAGAGCCAACCTGTGGGATGTGCGGCCTGGGCAGTGGCTGTGCCCGCAGGGACCACAGGAAGGAATAGCACCGTCTCTGCGCTGGGTGAGCTCTGTTGGCCGTGCACCACGTGTGCCGGGACTGTGCTGCATCTCGGGTAGGGTGAGGGCCCTCGCGCTGACCCTCGTGCGGCATTCATGTCTTCACATCAGGCCTGGGACACAGGTGGCAAGTTGGGTGGACTTATCCGCTCCTGTCCTCGGACTCCAACCCCTTGTTTTAACCTTCCACGTTGTGTCTCAGAGGGGGCCTCCAAGGGGCTGCAGGGTCTCCTTGCTTTTGGAAAAGGCGGGTGCACACTGCTGGCTCTACAGCTACTGCTCTAAGTGAACACCCTTACTGTCCTGTCACACACTGGCCCAGGGTGACACAGGCTCAGCATGCTCTGGTCCAGGGTCCATGTTCCCCGTGTGATATGCACACCAGCAGCCCTTCAGTGCCGTGTGTGGAATCTGCAGGGGACCCACGGACCATCATGAGATCATGGATGTGCTCTGGACCCTAGCTTTGTGGTCTTGAGCAAGTTGCTTGCTGTTCCCATATGTAAAATGGAACTTTATCTATGCCGACTTTATTAATTTTGAAGATCATGTGTACCGCTATGTGTGGAAGGGGCAGCTTCCTGTAGCTTAAACCCTGGCTCCTCTCAGGTATAACAGCAAGCTTCTCCTGGAATAGGGAAGAAGGTCTGGAAAAGCATGTGGCTCATGGACGGGTGGCTCCCACTGAGAAACAGGCAACCCAGGGGCAGGTGGCCAGGCTGCCTCTAGCTCCTGCACTTCCAGCTCTCCCTGGGTGCAAAGCCCCATCTGCGCAGGCCCAGGCCAGGGTCCATGTGGGAGCCCCAGCTGGGTCCCCTAGTGCCTCACACAGAGTAAGCACTCACCAGATGTGTGGGAGTGGGTGACACTGGAGCAGGCTCACGTTCCTGCAGCCTGGAACAAACATGTTGGTGTGGTGTGTTCACTGGCCACCTCCTCTCTGTCTCCCTCATTCATTCATTCATTCATTCATTCATTCTACCAGTGGCTACTGGGTGCTGACTTCATGCCACACTCTGTTTTAGGCGCTCAGAACACCTCCATGAGCAAGAGAGCAGCTGCTTGTGCCCCTAGACCGCACAGCTGGCCAGGTAGAGAGGGGGACCTCAGAGGGTGTCTGCACCCAGCAGCACTGGGAGGCTCTGCCCTGAGAGCCTGGGGACAGTGTCCACAGCCAGGGACTTCATAACCCTGATGTTCAGCTCATCTATGGCTAGCAGCATTGGGCACGGTTCTGTGGTATGTACAGTCCAGAAGCTCGAGGTGGCTGCAAAATCTGCTTCTCAGGGCTACATTTAAAACAACTGAGCTGCTGAGGCTATAACTCAGTGGCATAAGCGCCTGCCTTGCAAGCGCAAGGTCGTGAGTTCAATCCCCGGTACCGCTAAAAAAAATAAAAATAAAACAACTGGGGCTGGGGTTTAGCTCAGCGGCACAGCGCCTGCCTGGCAAGCATGATGTCGTGAGTTCAATTCCCGGTACCGGAAAAAAAACAAAAACAAAAAACCCCCCCAAAACCAAAAATAATTAAATAAAACAACTGAATTATACAATTTGGGGCTGGCTGGCTTTAAGCTAAGAGACCTCTCAGCCTCTGTGCAGAAGAAAGCAATGTAAAAGTCCTGGTGTAGGCAGCTTGTGAAACCCATGCCTAGAGGTTCAGATCCATTAGGTCTGGAGAATCTGCCCGATAATCTGCCTTTCTGCCAAGTTCCAGGGGCCGGCTGGGGACCGCACTTTGAGAACTACTGCTTCATATTCTAGATTCAAATTCAGGCTGCACATGAATGTGTGAGACCTTTGGCAAGTCACTTAGCCACAGTCTTCCAATGCATAGAATGAGTCCACCAGGCTAACAGGAGGCAAAGTTCTTGTTATAACATGTGGCACACAGTAGGCGCTCAGCCACTGTGTAGAGGAGGACCAAGACCTCTGCACCCATTGTGCCTACTTCTCTTCCTGAGAGCAGAGGAGCAGTGGCACCTCTCAGGGTGAAATCCTGCCCTTGGTTTGCTCCTCGTGTCATCTTTTGCTGATTTGCCTGCGTTCATCAGCTTTCTGTCACTGTAACAAAGCAGCTGAGGTCACCGGCTTATAAAGAGTAAAGGTTTGTTTAGAATCAGAGTTTTGGCAGTTTCAGTCTGTGACCCTTTGGGCCTTTTCTCACTTCCCTGTGACACATGGGCTTTGAGGGGGTGGCTGTCCCAGTCCTCAGGTTATTTTTTGCTAGTTCCAGTGTGTTCATGTGCGTGTGTATGTGACTGCACATGTACACATATGCACACTGCACACTCAGACCCGCTGACAGGTAGAAAGCCCCTGCTGTCTGCAGAGGTTGTAATCTTGCCAACTTCAAAACATTCCGTTTATTATTTTTAGTGCAGAGGAAAGAAAAAAGCCGGCACAAGCCGATTATTTACGAGCCGTTGGTCCTCCGCACTTTTTCTCTCTCCAAGCCCCAAGTCATTGACAGCTCAGCTACGTCACTGGCTTCAGCCTGCTTGTTTGTATAAACAGAATCATTAAGATTTATTAAATTTGCAGCTGCCCACATGCTCACCAGCTCCGTGCCGCTGGATGTTTGCCCAGCACCCACACACACAAGGTGCTGTTGCTTTTCCAGGGTGCAGTCGGGTTGGGAGTTAACTAAAGCCTGTCTTGGGAAGGGACCCGGCGCCCCTTCCCTAGACACACGTTGACTCTGGGGCACCGGCCGATGCTGCCGGCCCCTGGGCAAACCGGGATAGTTGCCAGCGCAGACAGCGGCCACCTCCCTGACCCAGCGTGGAGCGTGTTGGGCAGGCAGACCCCGCGTGTAGCTGCTGAGCGTTTTCTCGTGCTCTACCACATTTCCAAGCTTCTAAGGCTCCTACTTTCACAGTGTCCCTTCTCTGGTATTTGGGCACCTTGTGAAAATCGAGTTTTTCTAGGGAACGTTTCAGATCACTTCCTCTAGCATCAGGGACTGCTGCGCCTGAGATGTCGCTGGTTGCTGCTTGCAGGTTGTGTTCTGTTTTCCTTCTTGTTGTTTTATTTGTTTGTTTGTCTGTTTTGTTTTGTTTTGTTTTTTGTTTTTTTTCTGATGCTGGGAATCGAACTCACGACCTTGTGCTTGCCAGGCAGGCGCTGTGCCGTTGAGCTAAATCCCCAGCCCCTGTTTTTTTGTCTTTTTGAGACAGGGTCTCACTCTGCAGTTCAGGCTGGCCTTGAGCTAACTTTGTTGCCCAGGCTGGTCTCGAACTCACAATGATCCTCCTGCCTCAGCCTCCCCAGTACTGGGATTACAGGCGTGTGCCACCATGCCCGGCTCTGTTTTCCTTCTTGTTTGGCCACATGGATGTTATGAATTTAGATGCCAGTCTGGGGGCTCCAGCCTGTGGTTCAGATTCTCAGGGAAGGCCTGGCTACTGCCAGGGATGGGACAGCACACTGACTGTCTTCACCTCCCCTTGCTGAGAAGCTGTTTGTTCCTCCTACCCCGGTCATTGATGGTGCAGCTCTTGAGGCCCGGCCCTGTGTCAGCTTTTTCTAATCTGTTCTCAATCTTGATAAGGGTAGTGATTCTATTTCTGAGTCGGAAGTCAAGTAATGGTGCTCCTTATAATTGGTGTCTGAGATCGGATGAAATGGTGTAATACAAAATCTTAGAAAGTGTTAATGAGGTTTTCAGGAAGAAAATAACTCAGTTTCACAGCTATGATTTTTTTTTTTTTACAACTAGGATTTTTTAAAAACCCCTACTATATGCCAGGCAACACAAGGACACTCATGTGCCTGTTTTCATGTTTTATTTTGTTTCTGCAGTAGATAGGGTTGGAACCCGTGGACGCTCTACAGTAAGCCCCATCCCCAGGCCTTTTTATTTTTTATTTGAGATTGGGGGCTGGGCTTATAGCTCAGCCACACAGTGCCTGACTGGCAAGCTTGAGGTCCTGAGTTTGATTTCCAGTACCCCTACCTCAAATCAATATTTGAGGGCCAGGGATAGAATTCAGTGGCATAAGCGCCTGCCTGGCAAGTGCAAGGTCCTGAGTTTGATTCCTGGTACCAAAAAAACCCAAAAAACCAAAAAACCAAAAAAACAACCAATAAAAATAGAAGAAATGTACCAAATCAGTTTCTGGAGATTGGTCCTTAACTGAGTTGCCCAGGCTAGCTTTGACTTGCAACCCTCCTGCCTCAGCCTCCAGAGCATCTGGGATTACAGGCATGTGCCACCTTGCCTAGCTCAGTGCCCAGATATTAATGCCCATGGCCATCTTCTTCAGAGGGAAGAAGTGACCTGGGTGGGGGTGGGCTGGGGCAGAGGCAGTGGGGTTTGCCTTCATGCCCTGGGATCCACCAAGCAACCCTGGGTCTTCCTTGGTCATAGCTGAAGACCCAGGGGCCGGGCCACTCTACCTCTGACCTCCAAATGAGCAGAGCCTTGGGTAGCCTCAGCCCCGTGCTGTGTCATTCCAGGCCTCTGTTGACATGCTGTTGGCAATTTCTGTCAAATAAAAGCATTACACTGTATCTTCATCCACCTCACTCACCGGATCTGACACCATACGACTTCTGGCTCTCCCCTGAAGTGATAAAATGGGAAGGGTACAGTGCTGTCTTCTCTGAGGGGCCTGGGAGGATGATGGCGCCTGATCCCTGCACCCCTCATGGAGGGGAAGCTTGTGGGCCTCATGGGAGCTGCCCATGTGCCTGACAGAGAAAGGAAGTGAGCTTTTATTGAGCACCTACTTTGCACACGAAGCACAGCAACCCTTGCCTCTTTATCCTTGTGAATTTGGTAGGCAAGTGTCATTCTCCCTTTCTGCCAACAGATGGAGGAGCTGAGGTCCACCATAGTGAAGTGACCTGTCCTAGGTACATTTTAAGAAGTGGGAAAGCCAGGCTCCAAACTTTTTATTTCCTCCCACATATATTTCATCAGTGGCAGAAGATTAGGCCCATGTATCTTGATGTACTCATCGTGCCTGGATTCCTCAGAACCCTAAGCCCCAGGTCAAAGCCTGGTGGACTCCTGATCCAAGCCCCTGTGGGTGTTCCATTCCTCAATTCCATATCACCCGCTCCTCCCACCGCACTGAGCTTCCCTCTCTACTTGCACCCTTAAGGAGGGGAGCTTATCACTCCTGAGGGAGCGCCTTGTCTCTGAGGGTGGTTCTGAACAGAGGACTGGTAGTGCTTTCTTTGGGGGGAAACTGAGGTGTAGAGAAGCTCTTGGAGCTGGGAAGAGCTGAGGTTGTCCGTCTCCTCGTTGGTTTCCTAGAAGATCGCTCAGGCCTGTGCCTGTGTGAGTGTGTGTACACGTGTGCTCACCTGTGTGTTCTGAGCACTTGAGAAGCATATTAAAATGTCTTTTATTTTTAAGGATCATTTAACATTTCTATTTTAAAGAGCGTTTTAGATCTCAGGGCCCTTGAAGTAAAGACAAGAACACTCAGGGAGCAGTGACGGGCGGGCAGCGATGTCACCCTTGCCAACACTTGTAAATGCAAATATACTTTAGACCCTCAGAGATGATTTCCCAGAGGATCACGGCCAATAGCTGCTCACCTGAGTAAGTCCAGTGTCTGCTGCCAGAAGGGAGGAGCAGCCACGACAAGGCAGATGAAAACAGACCCTCTACTTAGGAGACCAGTAATGACAGGGTTTTCTTGTGGCAGAAACCCAGGATGGGGTGGGCGCACAGCCTGTTGTCTTGCCCCGCTTTCCCTCTCCTGGCATGGGCCAGAGCTTCAACATCAGGCACAGTTGTCACAAAATGCCAGGAGTCAAGTCAGGGCCTCCCCATACTGCGGCAGCCCAGCCAGGCCGGTGCCACCCGGTCAGCAGCGGGAGCAGAGCTACTCCCCCAGGAACTCAGGCTCTTGCTTAAACAGTGCGTCACCCTCTCTCCCGCTCCTGAAGTCACCGCTGAATACATACAGCCGAGAGCACTTACTCATTGTGTGGGCTGTACACAGCGCATTGCCACAAAGTCAGCGTCTGAGAACATTTGAGGCGGGAGGGAGACTGTCGATGGAATGATCTGGAGGAGGGAGTTGAGGCAGGAGAGCGGGTGAGGTGGCTTAGATGTGAGAGGGAGTCAGAGTGCCAACTCAGTGCTTCCCAAACACACCTGCACGCCCCAAGGCTTCTTCATCACCATCATAGTCACCAACACTACTTCACCACCATGAACATCATCTCCACCATTATCATCACCACCACCATCATCACTGTGATCATCACCATTGTTATTATCACCACCACCCTCACCACCATCATCGTGGTCATCACCACAATCATCATCACCACCATGAACGTCATCACCACCATTATCATCACTTTGAACATCACCATTATTGTCACCATCATCACTGTCATCACCACAGTCATCACCACAGTCATCATCACCATCAACATGATCATCACAGTCATCATGATCACCCTCAGCATGATCATCATCACCATCACCACCACAATCATAACCATCATCACCACCATGATTATCATCTCCACCATTGCCATGGTCGTCATCACCATCACCACCACCACAGTTATCATCTCCACCATTGCCATGATCATCATCACCATCACCACCATGATCATAACCACCTTCATCACCACCACAGTT